GACTGAAAGTGCTTGGTATTGCAAAAAACTGCGTAAATTTACTTTACCAATTTTTGCCTAATGGTAGAGTGTACGAGAGTACATGGCCGTATTAAAAATGAAAACCTCAAACTTCCGCTAATATTTTTCGTATGTAACAAACTGTGTTATTGGTGGTTTGAGGTAGAGCTTTTGTAGAGAGAAGTTTGTCAAGGATCATATCTCAACTGATACTAATAAGGACTGCTGCTTAAAAATTCTGTTTCTCATTGGAAGGATCACAGTATTGAGCACATTTCAATGTACAATATTTGTCGATGCTTACTTTTCATGACTTCTTATGTTCTAGAGAAAAATTCTTAAAAATGGAAATTTAAATAAAAAAACTTTGTATGCAAAATTTTGATCCCCATATGCGGTCTCATTATTTTCCCTGTGGTTATGATTTCAATAAATTTAAATGAAACTTTAACAAAAGTTTCGTCTTTTTGCAGGGTAGGTCTTAAAAAATATTTTTCAAAAAGATACCATAAACTTTCTCGAATTTTATAAAATTTATTTACAGCTCCTTGGAACAGGGTGTGGTACCTATTGTAAAGTTAACGATCGTACAAAAAATGCTTTGTGTTAAGATTTGGCTGTAATTGACCTTTTTGTTCCTTTGCCCAGGTAAGGTACAAAAGGGAAATTAAAAGGTATTCTAGTTCGTTAGATAAAAGGATTGTCACAAGAATATCCATTATTTTTTTCAACTCTTCTGTTCCGAAAAATAATTTCTTTGTGTTACAGTGATGATTATAGAAGCAAAAACAACTTTATAAAATGAAAAATGAATTTATTTGTACCTGAATGAAATATTCAAAATGAAGATTCCTGACTATTATTAATGAAAGTAAATATACATATTATTTAAAATACATTATCTTTAAATAAGGAAATAAAATATTTAAAATTTTGTTTTAGGTGTGATGATTACATATGTGATATGATGATGATAAAGGCGATGATGATGATAACGGTGTTGATATGGAAAATGAAGATGATCATCATCAGCAAAATTCATATCTACAGTCTTTCTCTTACGTCGCTTCCACTGATTATTTCACATCCTAGAATTTAATCACGAAGAAGTCATATGGGTCACACTGACCTAGTAGTTTCTTCAACTTTGTTGCCATCCTCTCAGAAAAATATTGCTCGTTCTTGACTAAGAAAACTCTATTTTGTTTCTGAGGTGGCGCTAAAATCTATTGATCTTTTATCTGGCTCTTTAAAAAGAAAATTATAAAAAAAAAACCAAACAAAAAAAGAAACAAACAAACAAACAAACAAAGGCAATTAAAAAATGAGTATAAAAAAGAGGTCTCAGATCGCTTTGATCTGACCGACATATAAAAAAAGATTGTTTTTGAAGGCCTGTGGTAGGGATGCTCCATTTACGAAACAAATCCTATTGTCTTTTTAGTAAATGGCACAAGTTATACAATCATTTCACAATTCATTTCAAATATACCCTAAGATGCTTCAAGATTTAAAATTAGACTTTACTAGTTGCCTAAGTGATAAAGATAACTTTCAAATGGTATTATTATGTCTGATATTTTTTAAATTCATATATTTGTTGCATATGAAAAGAAAAAATACATATCCAAAACGATAAAAATTGCACTTCAAGTAAAGATGTTTGCATCACATACATTGACTACGTAATCGTAACATAAGGAAAGGGCACAACACAAAGTCACAAAAGCACATATCATAAAATGACAAAAGTAAATCATATAAGACAAAGGCACATCACAAAAAGATAAATGCACATCATCGAAGTGGGTTTGAGCTTCGTCGATAAATAGCCTCATTGTTCTTGACCAACTAGGAGCTATCCTGTGGGAAAAGTCGAATAAATATTCCTATGAGAAAGATACCGGGGTAAATGCACTGAAGAGGTTCATGTTGAGGAAATACAATGTTGTGTTAGATGGGGATATTGAAATGTTTTTTCATTGAAGGTGGATGGGTAACAGTCTATTGAGTTTCACGCATGAATATCAATTATCAGTCAAACTCAAATGAGCTTTTGGTGACTTGTTGATTATTTAATGAGTTCGATTGGACACGTGTAAGCTAACAAAACTGAGAAATATGCCTTCGAACTAATAGCTTTAAATTGCTAAAAAAAAATGTCTTCTTTGCGTTTCTTTTCATTTCAGTACACGTATATAACGATGCCTACATTGTAAAATAATAATAATATATTTCGTATAATAAAGAAAATATACGAGTAATTAATCCATCTTGCGAATAGTAAGGTAGGTGTTTGGTAGATTGACAAACGCTTAACCTAGAACAATTTGAGTGAACTAGTGTTATCTTACATGCAATTGAATGCTCGAAATTAATTGCGTTTTCATTTTCACAATGCACTTTATTCCGTATTTACTCGATATCGTCACAAAAAAACTATATTGTGTATTATTTGTCCATGATTATGTGTCAAAATTAGCTACATGTCTTTTTAACTCACCTGAGCCAAAGGCTCAAGTGAGCTTTTTTGATCACATTGTGTCCGTCGTCCGTCGTCCGTCCGTCCGTCCGTCTGTCCGTCCGTAAACTTTTCACATTTTCGACTTCTTCTCAAGAACCACTGGGCCAATTTTGACCAAACTTGGTACAAAGCATCCTTGGGTAAAGGGAAATTTAAATTTTTAAAATGAAGGGCCAAATCCCTTTACAAGGGGAGATAATCAAGAAAAGACAAAAATACGGTGGGGTCATTAAAAAATCTTCTTCTGAAGAACCACTGGGCCAGAAAAGCTGAAACTTATGTGGAAGCATTTTGGGGTAGTGTAAATTCTAAATTGTTAAAATCATTACCCCCGGGAATTGGGCGGGGCCACAATGTGGAATCAAAGTTTTACATTGGAATAAATAGGAAAAATCTTTAAAGAACCACTGGGCCAGAAGAGCTGAAACTTATGTGGAAGCATCCTTGGATAGTATAAATTCTAAGTTGTTCAAATCATGACCCCCGGGGATTGGGCGGGGCCACAATGGGGAATCAAAGTTTTACATAGAAATATATAGGTAAAATCTTTGAAAATCTTCTTAAAAACCACTGGGCCAGAAAAGCTGCAACTTATGTGGAAGCATCTTTGGGTAGTGTAGATTCTAAATAATTCAAATCCTGACCCCTGGGAATTGGGCGGGGCCACAATGAGTAATAAAAGTTTTACATAGAAATATATAGGAATTTTTTTTGAAAATCTTCTTCTTAATAACCACTGGGCCAGTGGAAACTTATGTGGAAGCATTCTGGAAACTTATGTGGAAGCATTCTGGGGTAGTGTAGATTCAAAGTTGTACAATTCATGACCCCCAGGGATTGGGCGGGGCCACAATGGGGAATCAAAGTTTTACATCGAAATATATAGAAAAATCTTTGAAAATCTTCTTCTCAAGAACCACTGGGCCAGAACAGCTGAAACTTATGTGGAAGCATTCTGGGGTAGTGTAGATTCTAAAATGTTCTTATCATGACCCCCAAGGGTAGGGTGGGGCCACACTAGGGAATCAAAGTTTTACAAAGAAATATTTTGGAGAAATCTTTAAAAAATTTATTTTCAAGAACCACTGGGCCAGAAAACCTGAAACTTATGTGGAAGCATCCTGGGGTAGTGTAGATTTCAAATTTAAATCCTGACCCCTGGGGATTGAGCGGGGCCACAAGGGGGAATCAAAGTTTTACATAGAAATATATAGGAAAAATCTTTGAAAATCTTCTTCTTAATAACCACTGGGCAAGAAGAGCTGAAACTTATGTGGAAGTATTGTAGATTCTTAATTGTTCAAATCATGACCCCCGGGGGTAGGGCGGGGCCACAATGGGGAATCAAAGTTTTACATAGAAATATGTAGGAAAAATCTTTGAAAATCTTCTTCTCAAGAAACTTATGTGGAAGCATCCTGGGGTAGTGTTGATTTCAAATTGTCTAAATTATTATCAGTGGGGTAGGTGGGGTAACAATATGTATTACAAGGAGGAAATCTAGTAAAGAACAGAATGGTCAAAGCTTCTCAGGTGAGGGATGTGGCCCATGGGCCTCTTGTTTAACTTTTGGAACACTATAAATATACAATTAAAAACAATAAAAATATGCCAATTTGGGAAATATTTAAAATAATTATCAAGGGTTTTTAATTGGAAATAGTGGCGGGTTGTCAGAATTCATGAAAAAATGAAATAAATTAACTAAATTTTTAAGGTTTATGAGAAAAACCTGATAGCTGTATCCTGATAGATTATAAATTAGCTACAGAACTGTAGTTTTATGGTTTTATATATTATTAGTCTTTGACCATAACGTTACAGATCCCGTAGTGCAAAAAATGTGCAATTTACGGCGCAAAATTTTTGCGCACTTTTTGGGAGAATGTCTTCACTTAAAAAAAAAATCTACCTTTCATCCCCTAATTCCGGACACATTCTTAATCTAAATTGTGTATTTTATCCTCTTCTCAACTCTTTATAGTCGCCTCTACAGGTGATGAACTGGCTTGATTTGAATTTGTGAGGGATTACAGAACATTCTAATTCAAGCGAGTTTATCGCTTCTAGTACTACTATTAAAAAACATTAAAAAGGTTGAGAAGTGTATAAAATATACAATTTTATTAAGAGATGTGACTAGAATTATTAAGAGAAAGGTAGATGATTTACCATTGTTGGAAATAATTGGTTTGATTCGGTATTCTTAAGGGTAAATAGTAAAACTGACAAAATAATCTGATAATAAGAACATTCATTCAAAATTAAAATGAAATGTAAAGCAAAATGGAAATGATTTTGATAGCAAATGTATGCGGCGTCTCCATATGAAAATTTTCCGAGAGGGACTTTAAAAAAGCAAACAAATCAATCAACAAGTGTATGCACTGTTCTTGTATGGGTTTATATTTTGATGATTCTCATGACATAATACTTAAGATACGAGTTGTTAAGACAAGTCTGGCATATTCTATTTCTACATTATATACTGAAACACTTTAACAAGTCCTTCGACGTATCCTACCCACAGTGTAGACTTGTATAGGGACAGTGAGGATGGATGGTTCACTTCATTCTCTGTCAGTAAGAACTTAAGGAATACCCCGTTTGGAGTCAGAAGGTGTATCTGCTTGTTGTTAGTATCAGTAACAAGGATGTTACAGAGGGAGTCACACACTACATCAGTTGGAGTAAAGTACTCTGTCAGGTTCTGTCCACGGTAGACAGACCTCAAACGACCAGAGGGAGATATAATCACTAGTTCACCTTTAGCATCACTTGTACGGTTCACTACACAGATATCACTGTTTCTGTTCTGTGTGACTCTGTATGGCAATGTAAACAGTCTGGTGTGACCGTCCTCCTGGTACTCATACTCATGGATAACATCACCTGTCACTGTGATGTATCTCACCAGACGTCTGCTATGTGGCTCTAATTTGAAGAGATCTGATTCCTTATCTATCAAGGTGACCAGTAGCCCACCGTCCACTGACTGACAGATTCCAACTGGTTCCATGTGATCTGTACTGGAGACTGTAGAGACAGATCCTAATGGTGACAGGCAGTTGATTTCATTGTTACTAAATTCAGTGAAATAAACATTATTGTTATTAGCCACACACATGTCAATAGGGAAAATTCTAAATTTATATTTTTTTGTGCATTTTGGGTTGACTTCTGCTATGTATTTTGAATTTAGTTCATGTATGTAACACTGGTCTTCACAGAATTTCTTCAGAGAGAGTATATTTTTATCTCCATGTCGAAATGTGTTTATGTGAGCTACACTTATGTTGTCCATGTCCTCCAATGTCTCTCCAACGAAAGATTTAAGAAAGTCAATATTGATTTCACCTTTAGTGAACCTCATTGAATGTGCACAGTTTGTCACATGAACCTCGAATTCAGACAGCATTTTTGTCAGTTCTCTGTGGTTGTCAATCACACTGTAATCTGACATGTTACTATTATTCTCCTCCATGAATTCCACTGTGTCAACAATTCTTTTCTTTTTCTTCTTTAACTCCGATATCTCATGATTCACTTGATCATTCTTTTTGACAAGGTTGTCTTGAATTGTCTTTTCATTACGCTTCTTGATTTCGGTCAGTCTGGCCATTATCTCATCAACATGCATCTTAAGCTTTTTAATCTCAGAATAACACTGTTTTTTATTTTCTGTGATCCGCTGTGACATCTTCTCTAGTTTCTTATCAATCTTATATAGGTCTCCTTCCTTAATCTTTCTCAGGAATTCCTGCAGACCTCTCCTCCTTTCGTTAGCAGCCGTGGTTATAGTTTTCCAGTTATGACTTTTATGATCTGTTTTGGCACACTCACTGCATATGAATTTATCACAACCCTCACATATAATATCAATAGGTAAATCATGGAATGTACACATTTTAATGGGTGTTAGAGGAGACCCCAAAGAAATTGTTTTCGTGGTATTGGCAGCCATGTTTTTCGGGTGTTAGCTACCTGAACGATCTATAGTTTTAGTGTGTTGATTAGATAATTGTGAATTCGGACTATATATTATAGTATAGCAATGAAATGTAAACACACGTGTACATGTATATATCTTTACATGAGATACTCTTTTGAACCCTTCAACAAGATGTATAAACGGTCTATATGACGTATTTGAGATAAAATATAATAATAAGATTAAGTTTAGATATTGATATATGGCGTTACTGTAGTAATTATGTTCAAAATATCAGATTTTGATCTCGAGTAGAAGGAAATGCCCTTTCTGGTAAATTAATAAACAAATAATTTTGTGACAGCATTCACACTAAATCTCTAGTTTCAAAACATCTTTTAGTTGTACATTCCACAGTGAATATTTTTACCCTCTATTGTTGCCCGAGCTACTTATAAATGAAGAGTCATGAGAAAAATGAAATTTTGTCTCGCTAATGAAGAGTTAATGACTATCTCACAAAAATAAGGTGTCCCGAAAATCAAGTGCTCTACAGTATGACATCATACAAAACCAACAATACTTAAAATACCAAAATAATAGTGGATTTGCTTTTTCTAACCCGAAGGAAACTATCAAAATACATGAAAACTTAGTAACAGGCGGTGGCCATGCTGTTTTGTCGTTAGGTAAATCCCTAATCATGCAGAAGGTATAAACAAGTCACTGATCGCAATTCACTCATCGATGTGACGATGTTTCGTAAAACTTGACGCAGTTAGTATGCAGGTCAAGCAATATTTTCTCAACGGAAAATGTATTCTGTATAGAATAAAATATTATTTAAAGATATTCTAAAGAGCATTGAATTGGATTCAATGTCTTATTCACGAATCTATAAATAACATGTATATATATTTTCATAATATTTCCTATTTAATTGATACTGCAGTATATTTTTTGGCAAGTACATACATCGGAGGCTTATCCCTGTGAGGGTCTTAATAAGTCGATGAAAAGGATATGGAGATAACGAGCAGTATTCAATCTCAGAGTCCATAAAACAATACAAAATACGAGCAGAGCAAACACGGACCTTCGAAACATCAGAGGTGGGATCAGGTGCAAGGGTATACATTAAAGGGATCACAGTTAGCTTTTATATATCAACTCTAGAAGTATTTAGGTATCTGAAAAGTGCTGCGATCCTGATGAAATCTTAAAAATCATTTAATTATATCAATATTCCATGCCGTTGACCAGCAAAAATACAGCATTTGGTCATACAAATATTTTTTTATTAATGCAATTGCAGAATCTAGATAGGATCGCAGCACTTTTCAGAAAATAAAATGCGTGTTGAAAATATTTATAAACTAAACTTAGAATTATGTCCTTGCACTAGTGAAATTGTTATGGGTAACTTCAAATGCTAAAATCACGTGACTGCTGCATTACGTGACACGTCTAAATATAAAAACTAATACATGTATGTAGTTATTAACCATATTTACAATTATCCAAAATAAATAATGTGCTAAAATTAAAATCACCATCTTGATTATAAATACATATTTAATCACAAAAAATTGTCACTCTTTCCATTGCACACTTTCAAACTGTCCTGCGTATATTCTTTAGAAAACCATCTGAAAGAATTGTTTCATACGTCACTATATAAAACTGCAGTATACTTTTGTGACCCAACCAAATTCCATGAAGCTTATCAACTGAACATACACATGTACTTGTATCTTCACTACATGAAGATGATGGCAGTGCATGGATAATAGTGGTTGCGCTTTTGTAGAGCAGATGGAAGATACCCGTATATAAAGAATAAAACATAACTGCTGCATCATACTGGCTCAGTGATCAGTAACGATGTCGGCACAAAAGTTTTGTCTTTCCTGTCACTGTTTATTTGTGAAAGATAAAACTATGAGCATATTGAAATACAAACAACGGGCAATTATCCATCACACTTTCCTATAAAAAGGATAATGAATATTTTGTAAATTGTTCGATTGAATTTTTCTCTGATTTTGGTATGATGTTGATAAACTAATTCAAGAATATTTGTCTCCCAGTTAAAAAAAGGGAGGGGGTGAAAGACCTAAAAATATAAATAGTGAGAGACATAAAAAACGGGGAGAAGGTCATGTGTTCTTAAAAATAGATATACCTGGTACTACAAAAAAGAAAAGATTGCGAAAAGACAGGAAAAAGAAAAACATTGGCAACGAAAAGTTAGAAGGAGTAGGACCAAGAACAAGAGACCCATGAGCCACAATGTTCATCTGAGTAACTTTTGGACCGTTGATCTCCACCAGATATTCACTATTATATTCATTGTGACCCTAATCTATCCCTAGGGATCATGCTGTAAAAAAATTATAATTTTCTCTGCCCCAGGATGCTTTAACATTAATTTCAGCTCTTCTGGCCTCTTGGTTCTTGAAAAGATTTTTTAATGATCAAACTTTTATCTTTTTCATTATTTCTCTTTGTGAGGGGGCTTAACTCTTTATTTTAACAATTTAACTATCCTTCACTCAAGGATGCTTTGTAGCAACTGCTACCAATATCTGACTATCGACAAATGGCCATGGAGCTAATGCGAAATAATAAAATGCACAGTAAATTGATTTGAATTAAACTACCGGGTAATTAAGATCATATATCAATTAATTGAAGATATTCTGTGAATAAATTAGCTATTTAAAAACAAGAAAAAGAACTTCGATCAACATAGCCATTTTATTAATTTTTGGATCTTGTTAGGATCTTGTTAGTTGACACAGATAATACAAAAATTTTATTAATAACATTCCCAACTGTGTAATTCATTTAATTTTACTGCTGATTTCACGCAATTAGATGACAAAAAAATCTGAATTTCCGGATCACCGCACTATAATTTTCTGAATCGATTTCACCCCTCTCTGAAATTAATAATATAGTACACAGTAAACATGAAATTTTTTTTTATTAAAAAAGAAAAATATCTTCTAAAAAGTGATTGTGTAATGAATTGTTTTTATTATATACTGAATAAAAAAGTTGAATTGTGACTTCATGAAAAATTTAACAAGCAACAAAAATCAAATAAGCAATATGATGATGCGAAAATAATAACTTGAATTCATTTATTGTATCAATTATGTATTCATAAAATCTTGTAACAATACAGTTCCTGATAAAAAAAATACTCTAGAATAATAGAAGAAAATCTCTCGTCAAATATAACATCATCAGTCTTGACATGACGAAGCACGAGTGTCCCAGAAGACTAGATTCATTGGCTTAATAATCACAATAATGCTTTAAGGATTTCCTGATCAAAAAGTTCTCGAGTTAATTGAATAGCTAAAAAACAATTAAAATTAGATTCAATGTTCAATATTTTTAAAGTCGTTCTCTCCAAACTTGGTGCCCATCTTCCACCGTTTTGCCCATGCACGAATCACGTTATCCAGGCAGACACATTACACATGCTCCGTAGCATTCTGTTCACAGAAACTAAAAAGATTTCGAGTTTTATATTTCTTACCATGCACGTCATTTTCTAGCAAAAAAACAGTCTATTTGTCAGAAATAATCTAATCTTGAAAATAGGATGGATGGAAAGAGCATTGTAACTACCACAAACTAAGTCCTCTATCTATGGAACGTCACTTTCCCAATATTGATATAGAATGGACGTCTTCTTATAATTATGTCTGATATGTTTTAAGTCTTAAGTAAACGATGTTTAAGGGATTTAATAATTCTATTGTTGTTAAGATTTTAAACTAGTTTTCTCACTCTAACTTACTCTTATAAACGTTAACAACAAATTGCTCAACTAAGGAAACATCTCTTCTCCAGCTTGTAGTCACTAGGCAACAGAACAAAAAAACATTTTTAACTATCCCTCATCCTTTACTAAAACAATCAATGATTAAACTTTTGGAAAGATTTTTGTCTATATGTAAATCTTTATGCCACCGCAAAGGAATTTCCAAAGTATACGCCAAACTTTACAGTCCTTCGTTGCTAGAGTAAGACTGTGTCTATCATTTTTGTCTCAAGTCACCTATGTACTGAGATCATTTTCACATTGTGATGTCATAAATATGAAGCAAAATATAGACTGAGATAGTTTGCCAACCAAATATTTCAGATATCTGTTGTAGTCTCAAGTCGGGTATCTTCTGTAATCGTTCATAACAACATTCTGTATTTAAACACCTTAACAAATCCTCCAAAGTACCCCACCCATAGTATAGACTTCCTTAGTGATAAACAATATGGTCTGCCTTTATTCTCTGTCGGTAAGAACATTAGGAACTCCCCGTCAGGACTCAGCAGATGGATTTTTTTGTTATTACAGTCAGTAACGAGAATGTAACAGAGGGAGTCACACACTACGTCGGTTGGAATAAAGTTCTTTGTCAGGTTCTGTCCTTGATAAACAACCTTCATACGACCAGAGGAAGACATTATTATTAGATCAGTTGTGTTTTCACCTGTACTGTTCACAACACAGATATCACTGTTACTGTTCTGTGTCACTCTGCGTGGCACTGTAAACAGTCTGGTGTGACCGTCCTCCTGGTACTCATACTCTCGGATGACATCACCCGTCACTGTGACGTGTCTCATCAGACGTCTGCTGTGTGAGTCTAATTTGTAAAGATCTGATTCATTGTCAATCATGGTTACCAGTAGTCCACCGTCCAATGACTGACAGATTCCTCCTGGTTCCAGTGGAGCTGAACCGATGACTGTAGAGACAGATCCTGATGGTGACAGACAACTGATGGACTTGTTGTTAGAGTCAGTGAAATAAATATAACTGTTATCAGCTACACACATGTCTTGCGGAAAAATAAAAAAAATACCTTCTTTTGTGCCTTGCTGGTTTACTTTTTCTATGTATTTTGAATTTAGTTCATTTATATAACATTGGTTTTCACTGAATGTCTCCAAAGAAAAGATTGTTTTTTCTCCATATTGAAATGAGTCCTTTTGAGATACTCCAATATTATCCAAGTTTAATGTCTTTCCAACCAAAGACTCAAGACGTTCTTCCTTGATTTCACCTCTAATGAACCTTACTGAATGTCCATAGATTGTCTTATAAACCTCCAATCTGGACAACATTTTTGTCAGGTCTCTGTGATTGTCAATCAAGCTGTAATCTGACATGGTGCTATTGTTCTCCTCGATGAATTGCGCTGTGTTCAAAATTTCTTTCTTCTTCTTCTCTAACTCAGTTTTCATATGGTTTACTTGATCATTCTTTTTAATCAAGTTGTCTTTCATTTTCTTTTCATGACGTTTTTTGATTTCTGTCAGCCTGGTGATTATCTGGTCACAATGCGTCTGTAGATTTTCAATCTCAGAATCACAAATTTCTTTATTTTCTGTAATTTGTTTCGACATCTTCTTTATCTTCTCATCTACCTCATGTAGATCTTCATTCTTAATCTTTTTCAGAAGTGTTAACAAACCTTTTCTTCTTTGGTTGGCTGCTGCGGTTATAGTTTTCCAATCGTGATCTCTATGGTTTGTTTTAGCACACTGACCACAAATGTATTCATCACAGTCCTCACATATCATATCAATAGGTAAATCGTGAGATTCACACATTTCAATATGCTTTTGAGGAGAACCCAGTGGATGTTTTTGGGTGGTATTGGCAGCCATGTTTGTCGTGTATAGCCTTTACTCGAATGATCTAGTTGTAGTAGCATGTCAGGTATTCATAGAGGTTTAATTATATTCAGTTTGACACCTAGATGTGCAAATAAATGAAAATACACGGGTTTATACTATAATACTTATATAACGTATTCTTTTGAAACCTTAAAAAGAGATATTAAAGCTACGAGTATTGTTGTGCCTCTCCTGAGCTAATGTACGGAGTATAATACATGAAACACGAGATTCAGTTTAGATATTATTAAATGCCGTTATTTATGTTCAAATTAAAAATTTCACAGATCATTATGTTATTATGGTATATACGCCTCAAATTCAATGAAATTGAATGCATAACAAATATGTATGGGCTAGATACTCAGTATATTTTTAGACATTGATTTCAATATCTTAGCATCAGTATGTAAGCCAGGAACGTGCACTGATTTATGAACTTGTCCTGTCCTTGAAGAGGTGTCCTTTTTTTACTTTTACTCAATGACATAAATCTAAAAAATCATGTTAGTTTAATAATTGTTCTCATCGTAATGATCAAATACACCTTCCCACTATAGTATTTATCAATATTTTCATTACATGTATTTATTTATAATTTACAAAACAATTTTTTCTATATTATAAATTTCAATGCAAACTTAAATGATTTATTACTAATAAGGTAATACCGTTGTTGATAATTTCTCTTTGTAAATACTTTTATACTCTAAAATGCTTTGAAATGATGCCAGATTATTACTCAAGCCCAGGGGTTTGAGTTTTCTAAAACGTTGCTAGGTCATCGATTTACTTAGTTTAAAAACACGAAAATATATCATTTTTGTAGATAAAAATATTTCTAGAAACAAAAATGAAGCTTATCTTGAAGAACCTGTATATTCAAAGATATTAAGTGTTAAATGTCGGATTCTATTCTATGGCGAATGAACAATGAGTGAAGCTCCGCAGCCGTAACAGTTTCTATACAGAGATTTCGCGTTTTCCTTTGCGTAGGAATCTCAGGTAACTTTTACAGTGGCCGACAAAGCATCCTTAGACGAGTCCACTGGTTAGTCTGAAAGGTGACGCAGGATACCCCATCATTAAGAAATTCTACAATGCATGGCCAGAAAATGTATATATGGCTTTGACCCCTAAATGAAATTGCTTCTCACGGGTATGCAATTGATGTTCATTTGCACTTTGAGTGACATTAAAATAATAGCACAAAATCGCCATCATACGTTTTTTTTTTTTTTTTTTTTTTTTTAAAACCATACAAAAGGTAGTTAAATTCAGCTTTGGTAACGGAACCTATAAAACTTTTTTTGGATTCGTATGGAATATGTATTGGACATGCCGCACGGCTAGATGAACCCATAAATACCAGTTGAGTTTGAAAGAGACAGAATCTAAAGCTTCTAAGTCAAATGTATCTGATGGTTCATTAGCAAAGGTTCCTAAAATGCCATACTTTGATGAGGTAAAAAATGACATAGACTCTTTTCTTAGAATATATATATATATATATATATATATATATATATATATATATATATATATATATATATATATATATATATAACCGACTTTATGCTGTTAGCGGCATATCGTGACTGTTGACACTTGCTGGTTTCATCGCGTTTTTCTATTAAGTTTAGTAAAAGTTTAAGCTTTTCTCAGGTAGCATGATTAGATATTTTTATTTCGAAGAAATAGAAAGCATTTGTGAAATAAATTAGCAAAGCAATTAAAAATTATTCATCATATACATTGTTTGTTTGCCGCTAAGTGCTATGGGGTGTTTTTAAACTTGATGCCTCTAAATTTTTGCAGCACTTACTGGCATGGAGAAATTGGAAAGGGACGGAACTTCTTCAATCTTCTTTGAAACTCACTAAATATTCATTGAATTTAGAGTTATCTGATTATATAATGTTAATTAAGAATTAGCTTGTGTTGTCATAGCTTAAACCTTTACTCACAAAAATGTTAAAGAAAAGAAAAAAAAAACTATATCTCAACTCTAATAAATTACACTAAATTTTTTTTACATCCAAATTGATATCCTTCCCGTGGGAAGATAAAAATAAATAAAGACGTTGTTTAAATTCAATAGTATAATAGTGATATAATAGTAAGGCCAGCAATCTTTGATTCTTTCGATCGAATACGA